GCTTGATCCCAAAGGGCAGAACCAGGAGAAATGGGTAGAAGTTGAAGAAAGACACATTTAGGAAAAACTACCTAATGATTCCACAGGTCTTTAAGGAGATTCTGGATAACCACTTGTTAGGGATATTGTTGTGGCAGTTCTCTTTCAGGTGTGGTCTTGAGGTCATGGATGGCCACTGAGGTCCCAACAATTTAAATTCTGAGATTCTGTGATTCTGAAATGGAGGTTGGGGTGGGATGGGGAATAGTTATACACACAAGATGCTTTTGTTTTTTTTTGGTGGGGGGAGACATAGGCAGATAAAACTGTACATTAAGCTGTTTAATTTTTTTCACTTCCTCCACAATCCAACAAACATATTATTAAATACCTGCTATGTGCCAGATTGAGTGCTGAAGACAATACAGAGGTAAGTAAAATGAAGTCCTTGACTTCAAGAAACTGGCATTATAGTTGGAGAACTGACACTGGGAAACCAATGACCATAATTCCATAAGGGCGTAATAGAGATACAAATCAGGTGCTACATGGAAAGGATTTTAATAGAAGGAGATGGGGGAAGGCATCCATTCCAGGTATGTAGGAGATAATTCAGTCTATGGTTTCTTTATCAATCCTCCCTCTGTTTCCTGAGTTTAGGACTAGGTAGACAATAGAAGTCTTGGCAGCTGCCATTTCAAAGAATAGGAGAGCCTGGAATGCCATACTGCCGAAGGCAAAAGATAAATGCTAACAACCAATAATAACATATCTGGCAAAACTAAGTAAAATAATACAGGGAAAAATGGGCCCTTGATTAAATAAAGGACTTCCAAGCATTTCTAATGAAAAGACCAAAATTGAGCAGAATTAATTAAATGAAGATGTCAAAAGACAGAACAGTAACACAGAAATCACATTTGATCAATTGGGAAGTGACTGCATTTTGAGGACATTGTAATACGGGGATAAAAGACAAAGGTTCTCGAAGAACTCAGATGCCTTCGAGGGTGATGGAGAAAGTTAAATAAGACAAGAAAAGGGCTTGGAAGGTAATTCTGTTGTGATAGTCTTAGGGGAGGAAGGAAATGGGAAGAATAGAGGAAGATATTGGGAGGAAAGGAGGAAGGAAGAGGATTACTATCTCATGTAATGGGTAACTAGGTGGCACACTGGATAGAGCTCCAGCCTTGGAGTCAGGAGGACCTGAGTTCAAATGTGGCCTCTGACACTTGACATTTACTAGCTGTGTGACCCTGGGCAAGTCACTTAACCCTGATTGCCTCACCAAAAAGCAAATATACATACACACACATGCACACACACACACACACACACACATACAGATAGATATAGATATATGAGCGGAAGAGTATATGAACGTGGAGGAAGGGTTGGGGGGGAATCCCAAGTATCCCATGAACCTCACTTTCATCTGAACTGGACAGAGGAAGGGTGAACATACTCACACACATATATTCACACATACAAAGAGAATTAGTCTCAACAGGGAAATAGGAAAAGGGGAGAGGAGAAATGAGGATTTAAAGGAAGACGAGTGAAGGAATAATCATAAACAATACAAAGTAACATTAGAGGGTGGACAGTGAAAGGGAAGATAAAAGGAAAGAGTAAAAAACACATGATGGGGAAAGGCCAAAGGGGAGAAAAGAAAGGAAACAACAGAAACGAATCGCTTCAATTGTAGATCACTAGTGTTAAGCAAACTCTTCTTTTACCACTTTCTTCTTCATAAAGAGAAGAGTGGATGGGAAAGAATGGGAAAAAAATACAAGAGGACAGGGATGAGGGGGAATACATGATTAGCAATCGTAGCCATAAATTTATCCATGAAATGGAAGAATATTACGTAATAGAATGAATTAGAAAGCAGAATCTAATACGTTGTTTCCGAGAAACACACTTGAAACAAAGTTTCGCACAGTTAAAATTTGGGACTGGAGCGAAATCTATTATACTTAAGATGAACTCAAAAAAAGTAGGAGTAGCAATCAATTTCAGACATGGAGATGGTAGGAGTCCAGACAGCACCCTAGACCAGTTCACACTTCTGGTCTCATTTAATCCTCACAGCAGCCCTGTGAGGTAGGCAGAGACTATTATTCTCACATTACAGTTAATGGAGTCCGCACGTTAGGGTTAAAGGTAATAGGATTAAGCTATTACAGCTTAAAACTCCACTAAGACTTTTGGGAAACCTTATATGCATCATAAGGCTGATTTTTAGAGCTAGAATTTAGACCTCAGTGATCATCTAGTCCAATTACTATCATTTTACAGATGAAGGACTGGAGGTCCCAACAGGTTATATGACTTTCTCAAAGTCACATAGCTAGTAAGTGGCAAAGTTGGGACTGGAGATCAGATCTTGCAGCTCCAAACACAGCACTATTTTCCTTGCTGTTGCTACTGTTGTTGTCCATCCCTCATACTCAAAGAAGACAAAATGACATGTTGGAGTCAACATGCAGTGTGTTTGACTGGCTGATCAGTCTAATATGAGCTCGGAAGGCTCTACCACAGGTCAGCACAAATAGTCCATTTGAACAGCTGGGATGGAGATGGTTCTGGATTTATGCATCTCATGTTCCTTTGTGCTACTTCAGTTCTGCTTTGCTTATGGAGCACAGTGCCTTCTTTGATGCAGGCACTCCATGCTGGATGCTCTTGTACCAGTGTCTCCCCTTTCTCACCATCAATAACCAAAGTTCTTCAGAGAGACCTTGAGAGCATCCCTGTAATGCTTCTTCTGACCTCCATGTGAACATTTGTCTTGTGTGAGTTCTCTCTAAAATAGTCTTTTAGGTAAATGTATTTTTGGCATTCAGACAACATGGCCAGCCCTTAGAATGGTGGTCTCTGCTGTAGAGTTTGAATGCTTGGCAGTTCAGCTCAAGAAAGAATCTCTGTGTCTGGTACCTTATCTTGTCAGATAATCTTCAGAATCTTCCTAAGGCAATTCAAATGGAAGTGGTTCAGTTTTCTGGGATGGCACTGGTAAGCTGTCCAGGTTTTGCAGGCATACAATGAGGTCGGCAGAGCAGCTCTGTGGACCTTCAGTTTGGTATGCCACCTAATACTTCTCTCCCACACTTTTTTCAGAGCCTCTCAAATGCTGAGCTAGCTCTGCCAATGTGTGGGTCAACCTCATCCTCCATGTGTACGTTTCTGGAAAGGGAAGTGAACTTATCCACAGCATTCAAAATTTCTCCATTTGCTGTAATCGTGGTTTCATGTATGGAACCTGCACACTCTTTCTGTAGACTCCTAAAACAAAGTGTGAAATTATCTAGATCGAGGCAATTCTTTGACAAAATGTAAATTCCCCTAGTCCTCGTTACTTCACTGATGAAGCCATTGTTTTAACATTGACAGTATGTCCTTTTGTCCTTGACAAGGGGTGAACTTGCTTCTTGGAAACTTGTCCTGTTTACACCACAGTAATGATGTTGGTTGATTGAAGATTCATTCCTCCTCTTCCTCCTCTTCCTCTTCCTACACACACACACGAACACATCCCTGAGCTACATATAGACTCCAGAGACTAGAAAGTTATGGAGGGCTGGAGGAAGGAGGAGAGACAGAGAGAGAGAGAGAGAGAGATGGTCGTAGGTAGGGTCACTGGATAGAGGACTAGGTACCTGTGAGGCCCCTCCAGCAAACCATGTGCTCTCTCCAGGGTAACCATAGTCATTGAGGAACTAGTGCCAGATGGAGAAGATAAAGCTGGAGAACTTCTATACCAGCACCAAGTTACATGAAAACGAGAATTGAGCAGAAAAGGAAAGAGACACAATGTGGTAGAACCATCAAGCCTTTCAGCACTGATGCTGTAAGTTATATGGATTGTGCATGTTTAGGGGAATGAAATTGCCTCCCTATTGGTCGTGAGTGCTTTTCTCTTGTGTGCCTTGGCTTGGCATTTAAAACCCTCCCCAATATGGTTCCCACCTACTGTTTCATATATTTCTCTTTACTGTGGTCAGACTTGCCTGCTAGCTGTTGCCTAAGACCTATTTCCTCTCCTACATCCATGTCTTTGCCCAGCTGGCCCCCCAGGTCTGGAATGTATTACCTCCTCATAGGTGACTCACAGGTGAAGACCTAATGGAGAGGGAAGGATAATGATCAGGTCTGTTTATGGGTGTGAGTCCTTTGTGTTTTTCATTGAGTTAAACAAACCTGGCCTATGTTGAATATGTTTTTATCGTGAGTGCTTGCTCGAGGGCTGAAGTCTGTTTTCCATTTTTTTTGTAGAAATTTAGACAAGAACCAAATTCTAAAGTTGTCACTGTGCAATGATCAACTATGATAGACTTAGCTCTTCTCAGCAATACCATGATCCAAGACAATTCCAAAAGACTGAGCAGAGAAAGAATTGTGGAGTCTGCATGCAGTTGAAACTTACTATTTTCACTTTGTTTTTTTTGTTTTTTCTTTCTCATGCTTTTTCCCTTTTGTTCTGATTCTTCTTTCACAATATGACTAATGTGGAAATCTATTTAAGGATTGTACTTGTATAACCTATATCAGATTGCTTGCTGTTTTGGGGAGGGGAGGGAATGAGGGAGAAAAATTTGGAACTCAATCTTGTAAAAGTGAATGTTGAAAACTATCTTTACATATGGTTGGAGAATAATACTATTAAGTGGGGGGAGGAGGGGAGAAATTTAAAAAAAATTCTGAAGTCGTCAAGTATAAACCTTGGCTGGGAGGGAATACAATCCTGAGAAATTTTAGAGAGAGATCTTCAAGACGGAGGCCTGTTGATGTGAGCCCACATCCCCTGGCCCTCGTGACATTCATTAGTATAATGACACTAATAGTATTCGCTGACATTTATGTGTCACTTTAATCATTACAATGTGCTTTACCTGTGTGATCCCATTTGGTCCCCACAACAACACAGACACTTGGTACTAGATGTGCTTTCCCAAAACCACACACAGAGTAAGTAGCAGAGCCGGTATTAAAGCCTGTGTCTTGTCTTTCCTCTCCAGGCTGCACTGCAGACTTCCTCCACCATGCCCCAGCTCATCACCCTGAAGTCTTGCTGCAGCCCTGTATTTCACGCAGTGGAAGTACCCTCTGCCCCTGCAACTGCTGCTTCTGATTGCATGGTTCCTCCCAGGACCTCCATTTAAGAAGGGCCTCCCGGCCAGCCATACCTCATTCTGCTACAGGCTGGACTCTGGATTGTATCATTCCCCTGTGACTGCCTTTGTCTGTCCCTCCTTCCCCAAATTCCCCATCCCCCCACTTTTCAGCAGTCAGTGCTTGGCATGTAACAAGGGTTTAATAAATACTTCTTATCATTGACTCTGCCTTTAAACCCAGTGTTTATTTCATTTTACCATAAGAATGCAGTAAGAGGGGAAGAGGAGGAGAGAGATTCACTAAGGCATGGGGTGGGACCAGTGGTATGCTGGCAAATGTTTAACAACCAGCTCTCCAAGGGGAAAATGTGCCCATTATATACTTTTAAGTTTAAGTTGCATAATTGACATTTTCTCCATCATGTTCTTAAGTCTAGACAATCAATAAAATAATAAACTAAGCCCTGACTTGTAGAGTTTGCCTGTTTCTGAGGTGTAAGTACTCACACAGTAAATTTGACAATCAGCTCTGGCAAATCAGTGAAGCTGGCTCTAGCACACCCTTGGCTGGGAATGAACATAGGGAGGCTTGGAGGGATGGGAGGAGGAAAAAGCATAACAGAGGTGTGTGTGTGTGTGTGTGTGTGTGTGTGTGTGTGTTGGGGGTTGGGTGGGGAGATAAAAGCAAAGCCCCAAAGTTAAGAAGATTGCTTCAGAAGGGAGTGTGTCTATCAATGAAGGTCTTCAAGGGAAGGATTTATAATGATTGTCAAGAATGCTGTGAAGGTATTCCTGCTAGAATATTGAACTGTGGGACCCCGGAGATCCCTTCCACTGGGAAGGTTCTTGAATTTTATTATTACTCTCATTGGACACGTGCAACTTGCCTCTAGCCAGTTAGTACAGTGACCTTTAAAAACTCACATTTCTTTATGCACAGGGTACCAGGGCTTCTTTTCCTTTGTATCTGTTTTATTGACAAAGCTGTTGTGAGGAAAGTACTTTGAAAACCTTACAGTGTCATAGAAATAAATATGAGTTGTTATGATAATGAGTAGGCTACCAAGCTTGGAGTTCTTATTTCAAAGATCTGGTATAACCTATATTCACTGTCACCTAGGGATGGCCTTTATAAGTATGTATAAGACACATACTTACTTGGTGTGATTTCATTGATTATAGCATCCCACTACCTCCAAAACATACTTCCTGAATACTCACTGATATCTCATAGTTCACCATTAGAGACTGTTTCCTTTAACTTAAGACTTACCTCTTATTAACATGTAGATACAAATTAGAACAAATGAACTTGTCAGAATTTCATCCCACATGCTTGAGTAGGGAAGAGAGGAAAGAACATAAGGGAATGAGGAGTCACTAGAATGTGGACTTCTAGAAGGGAACCTTCTATTGAAATCCTACTACTGACAGTTGTGTGACCACTGGCAAGTCAATTAACATTCAGTCTTGGTTACCTCATCTATAAAATGGAGATAACAGGGTTGTTAAGAAACTCAAATAAGATAACTTATTATTAAGTGCTTTGCAAACATGGAAATGTTATATGAATATCAGTTTTTTATATCAAAGGCAAAGTTTGACAACAACTCTTTTGTTAATACTGAATATTATGCACACAAGTAGGCAATTAGCCAAGTTGCTACTGTCAAAGTCTATTGAATAGGATCAATGATACCAGGGTCAAACTAAAGGTCCTGGTGCCACAGTAGTGGGAAAACAATCAGGAGACCTCAGTTTTATTTCCACCTCGCTATGGAGTTGTTATGTGACCCTAGCTAGCCTCACTGGAAAAGAAGGCTTGCACATGGGATTCAGGAGAGATATATTGACTAAGATGGTGGAGGTAGATGATGAAGAACTCTAAATGCCATGTGATTTTTCTTCTCTTTCAGCCTCAGTTTCACCTTCTGTAAAAATGAGGGGCTTGAGGTCTTTATGTCCCTTCTAGGTCTAACGTTTTATGTCCTAAGATGATATTTCTCCTATTTTGTGTTCTATAATTCTGTTTTTCTCAAATTCTTTGTTCTAAGTTGTTTAGTTCTAACATTTTATATTCTAAAATCTCTTCCACTTTTGACATTTTATATTACAGGCTCAAATGACAGAAAAATGATAGAGTTGGAAAGGGTTTTAGAGATTATATAATTTAGTGGATGAAGAAACTGAAGCTCAGAGAAGATATGTTTTTCCAAGGTCATGCAAGTCATAATTAATAGTCAAGATTCAAACCTAGGTCCTCTGGCTTCAAATCCAGTACTTTTCCCACTATACCAAAATCACTCATTCAAACACTGAAATGGATCATTGACATGGGTATTTTCTTTAGTCTTGCAGATAGCAACCCACCCATGCCTCCTTATCTTGTACAATTCTAGTCCATATCATCCTCTAGGTTCACCACAGGATGTGTGTGCATTGAATGTGCTGGAGATTTTTCCCACTTATCTTGGCATCACAAAGATATCAATAGAACACATAGGCTATCCCTTGGCCATCCCCCCTCCTGCCATGTGACCAGTCCATCTTCTCTTTTGGTCATATATTTCTTTGATGACATCCACTACACTGCTTCTCCTTGTCAATACTCAGTCTGTAATAAGCAAATGGCAGACTGTTCACTCCCACCATGCATCCACTTCCATCTTTGGGTGGTTCTCACTATAATGTGCTATTTACTTGCAGCCATGCAAGATGAATTACAGAATCACATAAATTCTCTGTCTCTGTCTCTCTTTCTTTCATTCCCATCTTTTCTTCCCCCCATATCATACCCCTCTCCCCCATACCCCATACAGGGAACTCTCAGCTCACTCTGACTTCTTTTGAGCCTTCAAGTGCTTTAGAAAATGTTGGATTGATTTATTCTAGAGTCCTTACCCAGCAGGGTTGTCAGACCAATTAAAAAATGATGCTCTTAACTTAATCCTAATATTAGGAAGGACCTTGATTAAAATGGATTGCAATTACCCTGAGCCTACTCAGTACTACTGTTTGAACAGAAAAAGACTTGGGTTTTTCTAACTGTCAGCACTACTCTCCAAAGATTCTTCCCTCTATAGGAGAGGACAAAGATTGCCCCAGCCAAGAATGTCATGAGCTTCGTCATTATCCCAAGTCCAGGAGCTGGGAGCCTTAGAACAAACTGAGCAAGCTTCTCACCCTCCTGATCTTTGATGTACCTGAGAAATTTCATTGTGTGAACACCAGGGTGTTACAAGAACAGGAAATTGGAAAGTTTGATGAATTAGAGGGCTACAGACAAGGCCTCAGGAGATCATACAGTCTTAGCCCTCCGCTTCCTGACAGACCTGATCTGACTCACTGCCCTATGGACTCACCACTCTTTCTTAATCTTCATTCTTTAGTAAATTCACTATTTGCATGTTTGGTTAAGTAACTATACTCTATGGACCTCAATTTCCTCTTCTGCAAAATGAGGTGGGTGGGTTCTGAAAAAATAATTTAGAAGAATGCAAAAAAGTTACTAAATCATTTATATCCTGTGCCCCTGAGAGCCCACTACTGGGATTATACCCCAAGGTCGTCAAGGACAGAAAGAAAAGATTCATGTGTTTAAAATAGTCATAGCAGCAGTCTATGTTATAAGAGCTAGAAATGCAGTATGTGACCCATTGGTTTGGGAATAGCCAAACAGATTGAAGTATGTTAGTGTTGGGAAATGTTATTGTGAGGGAAGGAAGAAAGAAAGGAAGGAAGGAAGGAAGGAAGGAAGGAAGGAAGGAGGGAAGAAGGAAGGAAGGAAGGAAAAAAGGGAAGAAAGGGAGGAAGGAAGGAAGGAAGGAAAAAAGGGAAGGAAGGGAGGAGGAAAGGTGAGGGAGGGAAAGAAGAAAAAGAGAAAGATAGAGATAGCAAGGAAGGAAGGAAAGAAACAAGCATTAGGCACCTTCTATGTGCCAGACACTGTGCTAAGCGCTTTGCAAATATCAGCTCATTCAGTCCTCACAACCCTGGGTCATAGCTACTATTCTTGTCCTCATTTAATAGCTAAGGAAAGTGAGGCAGACAGAAAGTCAAGTGATTGACAGCCAAGGTCACACAGCTAGGCAATGTCTAAGTAGGGATTTGAACTCAGGTCCTCACTATACCACCTAGCTACTTAGGAATGATGAATTCAAAGAAATAGAGGAAGATTCATATGAAGTGATATGGGCTATGAATGAATAAAACAGAGTCAGAAGAACAATATACACATCAACTACAATTCAAGTCAACAGGCATTTATTATGTGCTTTGTATGTGCCAGGCACTGTGCTAAGTGCTAAGGATTTAAAAAAAAGAAGAGCAAAAACAGCTTCTGTTCTCAGGGAGCTCACAGACTAATGGAAGAGACAACATGCAAACTGTGTACATGCATGATATATGCTGGGGAAATTGGAAGCAATGTCAAAGGAAAGCATTATCGTTAAGGAGAACTTGGAAAGTTCTTTTGAAGAAGGTGGTATTTTACCTTAAAGGAAGTTAGGGACGGCAGGAAATAGAGATAAGGAGAGGGGCCAGCATAGGGGCCAGCCAGGGAAAGACTGTAGGGAATAGAGGAACAAGTAAGAAGGCCAGTGTTGCAGGATAGTTGAGTATATGGAGAGGAGCCAAGTCTAAGAAGACTGGAGAGATACAGGGGCTAGGTTATGAAGGGCTTTAAAAGCTAAATGTAGGATGGTATGTTTGATCCTGGAGATGCTAGGAAAGCACTGGAATTTACTGAGGAGGGGAATGACATGGTCAGACCTGTGCTTTAGGAAGATCCTCCTTAATTGATTCACTATCCTACCCTCCACCAAAACTATTCCAAACCTTCTCTCTCCTCAAGCTTCTCAGCACAATCTCTCCCCAAAACCAGCTCAGGCAAGGACTTTGCGTCATATTTTACCAAATAAATTGAGAACATTCATAGAAAGGTCTCTCTTCTCCCTTCCTCCTAGTCTCACATTACTCAGGCATCTTCCTTGAAAATCCCCTCTACTAGTTGTAAACTGATCCAATCATTCTGGAGTGTAATTTGGAACTATGTCCACAAGGCTATAAAACTGTGCATACCCTTTCACCCAGCAATTGCACTACTAGGTCTATAACTCAAAGAGATTTAAAGGAGGGAGGGAGAGGATCTATTTGTACAAAAATATCTATAGCAGCTCTTTTTGTGGTGGCAATTAGAAATTGAAAGAATGTCCACCAATTGGG